ACATGGCCTGTCTAAGCAGCGCTTTACATCATATAAAGATATTAAAAATTGGGTCGATTCGTGGATAACCTCAAAAGATGAAGAGTTCTTCCGACGTGGTATCCGAATGCTGCCAGAAAGATGGGAAAAAGTAGTGGCTAGTGATGGACAATACTTTGAATAAAACATAATGTACCGTTCTTTAACAATAAATTCCTAATTTTTGATAGAAAACGGCGAAAACTTATTTGTACTCCTAATAACATATTTTATAATTGTATACTATATACACTACTATATACACTATATTGCGGTATCGTGCATATATGTAAGTTTGTGTTATTCGGAACTTGTCTGTGTAGAATCCTTATTTGTAACAATGAAGGATTTATAAAATATTCCGTCAGCGAATCCGGTCAACGAAAGTTGAGTGCTTTCATGATTAGATAAACGTTACTCACCAACAGTAAACGCCGAAGCCCCACTATTTGCAAGTATTATGTGTGAAAAGTCAAAACCCTATAGCGCCCAATGGCCTCGATAACAAACGTGATTCACCTGTAGATTAAACAAAAATAAAGAGCAACGCAGATTCGCCAAGAAAAACAACTTCAACAAAGTAATCGTTCACCAACTGAATCAAACACAGACAATCACAATGAAATCAAGCACGTGGTTCAATAATAAACAATAACCATTACTAAGTCCGATAAAAGATATAATAAACATTAACTATTATTGGCGTGCGTCCACGTTTAAAAATTAAGGACGAGTGACGAGTACCAGACGGCAGAAAGACTTAAAATATATCTCGAAAACTCTGTTGTAAACAAGATGGTATGCAATGCATTCACCGTATAGTCCAGACATAGCACCCTCTGACTATCACTTGTTCCGATATCTGCAGAACTCTCTCAATGGAATTAAACTGGTTTCAAAAGAAGCGTGTGAAAACCACTTGATTCAGTTTTTCAACCAGAAACTACAGAAGTTCTTCACCGATGGCATCATGGCTCTACCCGAAAAATGGCGAAACATTGTCGATAATAATGGAGCATATTTGGTTTAAATCAATTCATTTTCACACTATAAGAAAACCAGTTGAATTTTACTAAAAAAACACCACGAACTTTTTCCCAGACCCAACATATGCGATTTATCTCTGCTCTCATGTTTATTTTGTGTAAAGGACTGGTCTCACGATTGTGTTAATAATTTTCTATACGCTAACTTTTATGAAATTGCATATGGAACATTATATGACAACGTTCATGATTTTGAATTGTTAGTGTTATTGTTTTTGTCGAAATCATGAAGGTTGCCATGCAGAGCTCCGTGCACAACTTCATAAGTTAACATATAGAAAATCATTAACACAAGCAGCAACACGAGCATCGTGAGACTCATATCATTACGATTAATTATAGCATAAGAAAATATACACAAGCAGTCGTGAAGCATAGTGCAATTGTAGAGAAATATCAAAAACAGCGTACCTATCTACAGTCTATCTATCTACATCTATCTACTCGGGCAGCGCGGCACATATATCATGAAGTTTTCTCATTGCGTTTTGTCTAAATATTAAATACCATTTTCTAATATTATATATGGATGGATTTGATATTTAATGCTCTACAATTTTTGTCCTTACAAAAACTTAAAAATTTTGCCAGAGTAACAAGAGGAGGGGAGTAGTTCAACATTTGAAATTTTAAAAAACTGAACACATGGTTGCAAAGAGCATAAAATATTGCAAAACTTTTGTCTGAAACTTTTTTTCATATGACTCATAATTTAGAAAATATTTGATAAAAACGATAACGGCTATTTTTTTCAAGAGGTCGTTTCATCCCCTAAACATGTTCCGAAGATGATATAAAAAAATATGTATCCCTTAGTTTTTTATGCTCTACAACATATCCGAAGCCTATTCAAATCGGTGAGGGACAGTTGTGACACTCTCCTTGTAAGTCTTAAATGGTCAGGATAACTTCATTTTCTCTTTAGATCAGTCTTTTTCCAAGAACTTGTATGCACTGGTACAATACGCTAGAGTGAAACAAAAAACATAATGATTTTATTTTAATTTAATGCATCAGTGTGCATTAATCCATCAAGGTCTACGAAGAAGAATAGACTGTTTGTAATCGATATAGACAACACAGCATCGACGTACTCACTACATGTCTTTTGCGTTCTATAATAGCACCACCTGTAAGTTATGCTGACTAGGCAGTTACTAGACATACTGTAATGTACGAACATAATCTTTCTTTTGCATCTGCTAACAAATTTTAAACTGCTGGTAGCTATATGGTAACTAGATTATGTTTTTTAAGAAAAGCAGCACCATCTATTATCGTATTTTCTATGTGATTACTAGATACCAACTGGATTGCAACATCTGATTATAAATACTCAATCAGTAACGAGCTAGTACTAGGCTAGAAAATTGTATCTAGCCAATACTTTCTAGTTACTATGTTTTGAATTAGACGAACTTGATAAAATTCTAGTCGGGTAAGAGGAGATACGCATAGCGCGCCATGCGCACTTGCAACTTACGTATTTATGAAACTTTTTTGGTCAGTGCAGCACGCATCTGATCTGAAGTATCAGGTGTGGTGGTTAATAATTCTTAATTTTTTAAGAGATAGCGCTGGAAACAAGGATTAGTTCACAGTCTAACCTCTTATGTCATTTTGTTGCTATGACAGTACCTTTCAAAATGCCATTGATGTTTAAACGATTTCGGGTTAGCGTCATATTTTTTTCGTGTGGTAAACATGTCGAATTTCAAGCCAAATAAAGAGCATTTGCGGCACGTACTGCTTTTCTTATTCAATCAAAAAAAAAACGCGAGTGAAAGCCGTCGTATACTTGTGGAAACTTACGGTGACAATGTCCTAACGCAAGACGCTTGTGTGTGTTGGTTTAGATGATTCAAAAGTGGTGATTTTGACTTGAAAGACAAAGAACGCCCAGGTCAACCGAAAAAATTCCAAGATGCCGAATTGCAAGCATTGTTGAACGAAGACGATACGCAAACTCATCAACAAATGGCAGAGGAGTTAAATGTTGGTCGCCGAACCATTTGTGATCGTCTGCATGCCATGGGAAAGATCCAGAAAGCAGGAAAATGGGTACCACATCAGTTGAACGACAGACAGATGGAAAAGCGAAAAACGGTGTGCGAAGTTTTGCTTTCTCGGCATAAAAGAAAGACTTTTTTGCATCGCATCGTAAATAGAGACGAAAAATGGATATATTTCGAGAACCCAAAACTCAGAAAATCATGGGTTGACCTAGGACAATCATCAACATCGACCGCAAAACCGAATCGCTTTGGAAAGAAGACAATGCTGTGCATTTGGTGGGATCAAAAGGGTGTCGTGTACCATGAGCTTCTGAAACTAGGTGAAACATTTGATACCGTTCGCTACTGTCAACAGATGATCAATTTGAACCATGCATTGATCGAAAAGCGACCAGAATGGGCTACAAGACACGGAAAAGTAATTTTGCAGCACAACGCCCCATCACACATAGCGAAAGCGGTCAAAGATAATATTTCTACACTTGGCTGGGAACTCTTGCCCCACCCGCCGTATTCATCCGACTTGGCCCCTTCCGACTACCACTTGTTTTCATCGATATCTCACGCACACTCCATGAAACATTTTAACAATTACGGAGATGTCGAAAAATGGATTGATGATTGGACCACCTCAAAAGATGTACGGTTTTTCTGGGAGGGCATTCACAAATTGCCAGAGAGATGGGAAAAATGTATAACTAACGATGGCGCATACTTTGAATAAACCATTTTTTACCTTTCTTCCAATTTAAACGTGTTTTTTTAAGAAAAAATTAAGAATTATTAACCGCCACACCTGGTAAGTTCCAAGTACGTTTAGCAGGACGCACTACGCGCGCCCCTCCCAACCCGCCCGCCTACCTTTCGCCCCGCAACCGCCCGCCCACCCTCGTCACAAGTATGCACAGTGCACGAATATACATACTAGTATAGTGAATAGCACTATGCACGCGATTGTTGACTACGCTTTATTAACTTTGAATCGTAGACATAAAATAGATATAAGATATGATATAAAATAGATATAAAATATAAAAATACTGCTCAACTTAAATTATTAAAATAAACCACTTAACGTTTGAGTCGCTAAAACTCCTTTTATAACCTTCCTATTCTAACCTATAACATAGCTTTTCATCAAATTTGGTTGAAATCGGAGCATGACAGCTTTCGGAATAACAGCCGTCGCTTCTCCATATATTCAAATAATTGAGAAAAATCATAAAAACTCTATTATACCATTGGTGTGATCCCACAGCGTGATCATACCATGTTCTCCATGAAGTTAACCGCAATATATAATTAGACTGAATAATTCTCCGTTTCCATCGACGTAGAAAGCTTAGTCCAGAACATAAATATTTCACGATATCGTTTCAAGTTCTGACGCGAAAAGAACTCCATAACAAAAGCATATTCCTTGGATCCATAATAGAACTTTACGCCTATATGATCTTCGTCCATTAGGCAGTAAGGCAGTAGTACACATTGATGCAACAACTATCGTCAGCACCAACGCCCATCGCCCTTCGTTCTTCTTGACGAGGATTGTTTTGCTTTCTTCACGATTGCTGGCATATGTGCAGAACAAAGTGAACGTATCGAATGAGAAAATTGTTTATGCAATATCTGCTTGGTTTGGCCAGAAATAGAGGACATCGCAACTACGTCTACCAACTATGCCATTAACCCACGTTATTTGCGTATTATTCAGTTATAAATCATATAAATGTTATATATAATAACCACACGCGTTAAACACGCATAACGTGGTTGTTTTTCTTCTTTTTTCCTATTTGTTTTCTTTTTATTCTGTTTTTCTTTTTTACTCGAGTCGCGAACGCGGCGCGCACATCTCGCGGACGAGCTCTGAGAAACGCTAAGAGGACCATGCCAATCCCTGAATAAAGCAGTGAGTCACAACCCTTATTTTTGTCGATCCTTTTTGTTACGCAGTAGCATACAGTTTGCACTGCTATGAGTGTGTACGAGTGATACGTAGTACACGTGCCGCGAATGATCTTCGAAATTGTCGTTTATACCTATTCTGTATTCATACTAAACTATTACTTGATTTGTTTGTAAGACAACTAATGCATTGCAGGCATGCGACGAGAGTGGGAAATGAAAGGTTTCGCTAGATCCAATTCTCCAGTAATAAATCTCACACCTGTACCATTGACATGTGTCAGAATTCGCGCGGTTATAGATTATTAAAAGACGTATAAATATTAACATTTTAGTTTAATCATAGTATGCATCTCTGCGTAATTCTAACATACTGTACGGTATATAACATTCATATTTTAACTATGCTCCATTTATTTTACAGCTCCGAAGAAACCACTGTCACCATTTGCCAAGTTTCGTCAACTCGATAGGCAAAATAGTACCACTTTATCGCCAAGGTAATTACAAAAAGAAAAAATAAATTATGAATTATAGTGTATTAATCAACAATTAAAACAGTAGATGATTCAATATGACAAAGATTTTGCAAAAAATAAAGTTCTGATTAATGAAACAAAATAAAAAAGGAATACATAAATTATAATATATATATTTTTGCATTCTGATTCTCATATGTAGTTTAATAATTCATATCTTTTTATGTTTTTATGTTTAGTCCTATGAAGTCACCAGCAACAGAATTTCACTTCAAGTTTAACGAACCAACTGTACGAGATAACGCTGCGCAAATTAAAGAACGATTATTGGCGTGGTGTCGGTCAAAAACCAAAGAATACGAGGTAAATATAATATTTCAATATATATATGTTTATATTTAAAATACTAGCAAGCCTCCCTCCCTCCTGAATGTAAAAAGTATTTCAGATATAAATAATATATTCGCATTTGTAATAACAACTATATGATATCGAATGACTGATACGTTTATTTTTTTTCAGAATATACAACTCGATAACTTCTCGACAAGCTGGAATAACGGTTTAGCATTCTGCGCGTTAATACACCATTTTAGACCGGATGCTTTCGATTACAACTCTTTACGTGCGGAAAACCGTAGAAAAAATTTTGAACTTGCTTTTACAAAAGCCGAGTAAGTTTAATTTCTCGTCTTATATCGATACAACTATTTCGTTTTAAATAATTTAATCTATTTGATATATTATTATTTTTATTCGTTTATAAATAACCGAGAGATTTTTTTACTCTTTCTTTCTTTCTTTCTTTTATAGCGAAGTCGCAGGAATTGCACCATTACTTGATGTCGAAGATATGGTAATGATGCAACGACCGGATTGGAAGTGTGTCTTTACATATGTCCAGTCTATTTATCGCCGCTTCAAGGACGAAGAATAGCAATTTACTCTAAATACAGCAACACAGCACAATTCCATTTTACGCTAACGTAGAAAAAGATTGTTATTTATAGAATGTTTATTACACTTATTATACACTTAATGTGATTGGATAAAGATGTACACGATCACAAAAAATTTTGTTTTAAGTAATGGAAGATTGGTTATATCATATATGTTTCTGTGTATCGATTTTAATAATATTTGTAGTATTCACAAATTTGAAAACAATATCTTTCAATGATATTAACATATACCAGGTATGTAAATATGAAATTGGAATTTTTGTATAGAAAATACACGTTTATTGTATGAAAATAATAAAAAATATTTTAATCGAAGTATTGCTCATCGCTAGCTATACATTTTTCCCACCTGTCTGACAATTTGTGGATGCCACGGCAAAAAAACTGTTGCTCTTTTGAAGCAAACCAGTCATCGAGCCATTTTCGTACATTTACGTAAGAAGTGAAGCACTGCTCGGCAAGTGCGTATCCTATCGATGCAAATAAGTAGTAATCGGACGGAGCCAAGTCTGGTGAGTAAGCCGCATGCGAAAGTATTTCCCAACTAAACGCCTCAATCGTTTCCTTGACCAGTTTTGCTGTGACTGATGGTGCATTATCATGAAGCAAAATCACTTTGTGTTGCCTTTTTTGATATTCTGGTCGTTTTTCACGCAAAGCTTGATTCAAATCGATCATTTATTGTCGGTAGCGTTCAGTATTAACGGTTTCGCTAGGTTTTAGCAGCTCATAATAGATCACACCCTTCTGATATCACCAAACACAGAGCATTATCTTCCGTCTATAACGATTTGGCCTTGCAGTCGATGTCGATGGTTCGCTTGGAGTTACCCATGATCTTTTACGCTTAGGATTCTCAAAATATATCCACTTTTCATCGCCAGTCACAATTCGATGGAGAAATGACTTTCTTTTGTACCTGGCGAGTAGCATTTCGCAAGTGGTTTTTCGGTTTTCCTGCTGTCTTTCATTCAGTTCATGTGGAACCCATTTTCCCATCTTCTGGATCTTTTCCATGGCTTTCAAACGTATGGAGACGGCTTCTCGTGTCACATTTAATTGATCCACGAGTTGTTGTTGCGTTTGAGCGTCCTCATCCAACAATGCTTGCAATTCGCTGTCTTCAAACTTTTTCGGTGGTCTTCCACGTTCTTCGTTTCTCACGTAAAAATCGCCAGGTTTGAATTTTTTAAACCACTCAAAGCACTGTGATTTACCAAGAGCATGCTCACCATAAGCTTCGACAAGCATTCGATGCGATTCTGCAGCAGTTTTCTTCAAATGGTAACAGAAAATCAATGCTGTCCGCAAATCGTAGCTTCCAGGCATAAAATTCGACATGTTCAACGCTATTACAAACTATGCTGTTGTATGAAACTTGTATTGTTGTGAGTTGAAAATCTTTGTCAGATGTCAACAAATGGAAATGGCGCCAATGACGCAGTTTGACGGTAACTACATTGACAGCTAGGGCCATCTATGAGCAAATTCCGGTTTCATATTTACAGACCTTGTATTATAAAAAATCAATCTTATAACTGCGTGAATAAATATGCATTCACACGCATCATATATTTTTATATCTCCTATCGCAAACAGTCATACTAACATGTAACGGTTTTATATCTACAGTCTGTAAAGTAAGAGCGTACACGGCATAAATGGCAGTTGGCTTCAAATATCGTCCTAGTTTTTTTATGAGCTGATAGATGAAATCTTTGTCGTGAATGCTTTGTCACAAAAGATTCAGTTGGCGTCGAACTCTAACCTGAGAAACATGTTAACCGCCATGAGTGCCGAATACACATCGCGCTACGAGGCTGTGTTCCTTTGGTCCCACCCCAAAGGACCAAAAATGTCATATGCAGTGGCTACTAAATACATGGGAAAGTCAAAATCGTTCGTCGCTAAGTAGGTTCAGCAATATAAGAAGATAAAAAATGTCGATGACTTGCCAGAACGTGGCTCGATAGGCAAAGTGACGCCGAATATGAAAAAAAATTTTTGAATTTGTTTAAGCGGAACCCGATCTTAATGCTTAAAATTTATGAGAAGTGTTTGTTGCCGACTGCTGAACGATGCTTCATAAAAAAAACAAGGACTAGATCTTACAGGAAGACAACGACCCAAAACACCGGAGCAAGTTTTGCAGTGGAAAGAGCAGTCTGGCATCGTCACACTTGATTGACCATCGCAGTCGCCAGATGCAAATCCCATTGAAAATGTGTGGACATATCTCAAGCACAAGCTTCAAGGAAAAAGAGTGTGCACTTTGAAGCAGCTGACACGACAAATTCATCTCATTTGGAGGTCTTTACCGAACGAATACGCAGTCAACTTAGTGGAAAATATGCCTCGGAGATGCCAGGCAATTATCAATGCCGGTGACTGGACTCATTATTAATGGTATAGCATTTATCTTCTCATGGAGTACAACAAATCCATGTACTTAAAAATCATTAAAAATAAATTTTTCTACACATTAACCCGTGCACGCTCTTACTTTACAAACTGTATGTTGATGCAGCAGTAAATATTTTCTATATACATACATGATTGAATACATGATTGAAAGCCAAATGTAAACAGGACACGAATCGCTGCCAAATGACGTTAATGTCAATATTTTAAATAAATTCATTGTTTCAAACATCAAAGGTTTCTGCAATAAATATATGAAACAAACATAATAATTTATTAATTATGACCTTGCCTTATAAAGTTAATAAACTTCATTATGACATTATTTATTAATAAAAAAATTGTAACAATAAATTGTAATATTCGGTAACCAAGTAAGTTCGTGCCGTTTTAATCAATACAGATAAATGATATTGTATACATTTACAATTATTGTATACATTTACAATACATTTGTATACAATTACAATACAATTCCAAAAACTATCTCACTAAGCTGCTTGACAATCTCATAAGGCCCCTCCCAATTATTTTGTAATTTCGGGGTCCTTCCCTTCTTTCTTTGAGGATTGAATAACCAAACTTTTGTTCTATTTTGAAATTAATCTGCTTAGCTTTCTGATCATAGCGATCCTTTACTCGCAAAGATTTTAGATTCAGGTGTTCTCTCGCACTGCGATGGATCGCATCCAACCTTTCTCTGAATTTCCAAGTATAACATTCCCTTGCGTTATTATCCCTATTCTCAGGACTTCCTCGCAATATATCCATGGGAAGCCGAAGTTCCCGACCAAAATACAACTCCGCAGGAATAAAACCTGTAGCCTCATGCCTTGACGATCGACAAGCTAACATGTACAAAGGAATCCATTTATCCCAGTCCCTTTGATTTTCTGCCATGAATTTTAACAGATAATTCAAAATTGTCTGATGCTGGCGTTCAACATGACCATCGGACTGGGGATGTAAGGCAGTTGTTCTAGTCTTCTTAATTCCCAACAAACGAACAATTTCCTGAATAACTTTCGATTCGAAATTTCTCCCCTGATCAGTATGCAATTCGCATGGCACGCCATGCTTAGAAACTATTTCATAAACAAAAACTTCCGCCACCGTCTTAGTCCTACTATTTTTTAACGGAAAAGCTTCGACCCATTTCGTAAAACAGTCCACTATTACTAGGAGAAAACGATTCCCTGAAGACGAATATGGAAGAGGATCCAAAATGTCCACCTGAATTCTTTCAAATTGAGCACCGACATTGTAAATTTTCAATGGAGATTTACCCTTCCCAGAGGGACCCTTTCTTGTATTACAAATATTACAACTCCGACACCAATTTTTCACATCTTGCTTACATGAAGCCCAATAAAAACGTTTACGAATTTTATCCAGAGTTTTATTGATCCCGAAATGACCTTCTGTAGGCGTGTCATGAGAGCAGCTCTCAAAATTTGTTCCACCCGACTTCGAGGAACTATAATCTGATCAATAACAAATTTAGTATTTGGAGATTCTCACCTCTTATAAAGAACCCCATCCTTTACCAAAAGAGCATCCCAATAGGAAAAATAAACCCTGGTCGAAGATTCAAGACTGGCCAAGTCCTCACGAAGTGGAATTTCTTCTTTTTCTTTAGCACGCAAAAATACAGAAACCACTGAATCTTCAAATTGTTCCTTACACCACTCCTCCAGAACATCTTCCTGCAAAACTATTCGAGTTATTAAGCTTTCCTCACTGGATTCCTTTCTAGCTTCCACCTTATCACAATAATTGCAGCCATCTCGAGAACTTGGCCGTCTAGATAACCCTTCTGCGTTTTGATGCGATATTCCCTTTCGATACACTATCCGGAAATCATACTGCTGCAATCTCTCTAACCATCGAGCTAGTTGTCCTTCCAATTCCTTAAAATAAGTCAACCAATGTAAAGAATTATGATCAGTCCTAACCAAAAAATTCCTACTGTATAAATAATGATGGAAAGATTTTATAGAATTAACTATTGCTAATAACTCCCGACGGGTCACACAATAATTTCGTTCCGATTTATTTAAAACCTGACTAAAATATGCAATAACCCTTTCAACCCCATCTTGATTTTGTGACAAAACTGCTTCTATCCCGTGATTAGAAGCATCTGTATCAAAAATAAATTCTCCTGTTTCAGAAGGGAAACTGAGCACCGGAGAAGAAATTAGAACCTGCTTAAGACCATCAAAAACTTCCTGACTTGACTTTGTCCAAATAAATTTTTCCTGACTTTCAGTCAATTTATAAAGAAGCTTTGCTAATGTTGAAAATCCCTTAATAAATTTCCGATAATAAGAACAGAATCCCAAAAAACTCCGAACTTGCTTCTTGCTCTGGGGAATCGGCCAGTCATTTACCGCAGAAATCTTTTCAGGATCTGTAGTCAACCCTTCCTCAGAAATAATGTGACCCAAATACCTAACTTTTTACTAAAGAAAGAATACTTTTTAGGATTAATTTTCAAATTAGCCTTACTTAAACAAATAAATACCTCCCGTAAGTTTTTCAACATTTCTTCAAAAGTTTTGCCAAAAATAATAACATGGTCTAGATAAACCAAATAAATTTTATGAAGCACTTCCCGAAGAACCTTTTCCATTAATCTTTCAAACGTAGCCGGTGCATTACAAAGACCGAATGGCATCACTGTAAGCTGCCACAAACCATTTCCAATCGAAAATGCAGTATTT